AGCGTATATAAAACTTTGTTTTGATAATAAATACTACTTTGCATCAGAAAGATAAAACATTCAGAAAATCGAATGGAGGAAAGATAATTGGAAAACGAAAGATAATTCATTATACACTATTTGAAAGAGCGATAAAACTACTTCTAGTTTCTAAAATTGTATAATTTCAAATCTACTCAGTTATTGGAAAAAAAATACATTTGATACGAGAGATAATTAGGAGACGGCAGAAGTTACAAGGCGTTCGCAAAAATTTCATCAAACCCAAATTCCATTTAATTTCGATCATAGCCCCTCAACTTTTTAAACAAAATTCTTCAGTATGGCAGCTTATTGCTTTTTGATTGGCTCTAAAGAAAGCAATAGCGCCATTGGTTAGTTCCTTTTCTGTTGTAGATGTGAGTGCAGGTGAAAATCTAGAAACCCTATCGGTTGAAAAACTTAATCAAATACTCGAGGAAGTACAAAAATTCGACGAATTACCGGAAGTCATTGAATCAAATAAAATATACCGTTTATATCTGAACGAAGAAACCAAAAGTAAGTCTTTCTCATTCGTTTTTCCTTTACTCAGGGTTCGGTTGCGTAGATAAGTGATAAGAGCAGTTACTCCGCTTTTTCACTCATTCCGTGATCCACACAGCCGAAAAATGGTTGCAACATCCCAGGCCGTGAAAAATGAGATAAAAAATGAGCCATGAATGACTTATTTATGTGCCATATATGGCTCATTTTTAAATCATATCTCTCCCACATTTACCTCATTTATTGTATCATAATGTAGTCATAATTATGTCATTTTTTATGGGATAAATATCATCTTATTATGGTCATCAAAATATGAGCCTATTATGATCCTATTTAGATCATTTCTGGCTCATTTTAAGACTATTTATGAGATAAGAAAGAAAAAATACGAAACAGCTCGTGCAGAGATTCGAAACCTGAATCTGTAGATCAGGAGTCTACGATGCTATCCACTACATCACACGGCTATACAAATATATAGGTTTTTGTTTCTTCTGTTTTGGGACTTTCACTTTGAAGTTTTAAAAAAAACTAGTAATTTTGATTAATTAGCCTCTAGTTTTTTCCACAAACACTATAGAGAGTTGAGCCTAGAGACTAATAGATAGTAAAGTTAATTTTTGACATTTTTTCACTTCTAATCCCACCTTGGAAAACACTTCCTTCATGGCGAAAAACGGAAAATAAAGTTCAAAAAGGGATTTTCACCCTGAAGAAAGGGTTTTCGGAGATCGATGTCGGAGTAAAAAATATCAGAAATTAACTTTACTATCGTTTAGTCTCTAGGCTAAACTCTGTACAGTGTTTGTGGAAAGTGGTAGAAGATAAATGCGCATAATTCCATAAAAAGTGCTACTTTCGTCTGTGTCATAATGTCCCATAAATGACTAATCTAATACATATAAATGATATGATTTAATTATGATCATAAAATGTGACAAAATATAATTGTAAGAAAATGATGATTTTAGATTAGAAGTTAAAAATGATGTAAAAATGACACATAAATAGATCATTTTTAGATGATCATACTAGGATCATATCTAGATCATTTTTACAAATTATATCATATATACATCATTTTTATCTCATTTTATGAAATGGTCTTAAAATGACTCAAATATGATACCATTTTAAGCTCATTTAAATCATTTTAGGATTATAATATGATCATTTTCACTTCATATCATAAATGAGCCATACATGTCTCATTTATGTCTCATTTCCTGCGACCTGGGATGTGTGTCACCCAATGAGTACTATTAAAACAGCTGTGGAAATTAAAATTAAAACAAAAATGCTTTTTCGTAGAGAATAGCTTGGAGTAGTTATGAATAAAGTCGTTTTTTTTCAGTCGATTGCTGAGATCTTTGTTTGAAATATCGTTGCATGTTTAATTTGATCTTTTCGACTTTCCACACTTGTTTTAATGTCTCTTGTCTTTCTAGTAGATTTACACACAGTTTAAGTTATATGTTATATTATCAGCTTAAGACAGATGTTAAAAAATTAAGAGAAAATATAACAAATAAACAAAATACCACAGGCTTCAAAAGAGAAATTGGCATAAACGATCTTCTGAAATTAGTCTAAATCCATATTCAAGGTTTCAAGAACATTTTGTGCTCCTTTCTCAACTATTTTTTAACAAAGCTGATATTTATGCAATTATGGTAGTACTCAAAATTAAATTGCTTATAGCCCTGTTGAAAACTCATGCGATAGTCATAAAAATCTCTTACACAGGCGACTCAATGTCTTCTACAAACTGGCAAGGTCAAAACCGAATTTTATCCAAAAATAGTTTGCACAAGAACATTAATACGTACATAATTAAAAAAGTAGAAGGTAATCTAGTTGAGTATTTTTAATACGAACGAACATTAAATTGTTTTTACACGGAAACTAACAGAAATTGATTATTTTAGATTATATTCTTGATGTGTTAAATATGAGTACTATCTTTTAAAACTGGAAGAACGAAATCTGCCACTACTTTTTATCTAATTTAAAACGTTCAATAAAATTCATAAAAAATCTAGTAATAATCTTTCTTGTCCTCACAAATCAACCTGCTACTTCAGTATTTCTTAGTTTATGTTTATTTTTTACATCGGCGACACATAGTCCGTAAAGATTGTTTTCCTAGTCGATATCTTCAGCTTGACCAATATTTTGTTCAAATCTTATCAGTGGATCCAGAACATACCTCACTTTTTTATCATTGTCAAATCCAATTATATCAGTTCTTTTACTGGACCCATTGACTGCTATACATGGTACTTCGGTGTATATAGCATATCTATTTGCTTTTAATGCAATTGTTAACAATAATTCGATATGGTTATGACGAGTATTTCTCCGTAATTCACTTTTTTGGCAAAAGCCCAGAATGTGACCAAGAATTTCAGTCTCGTTGCAGGGTCTACAACTGCGTCCATCGGTACTTCTTCAGAAATGCATCCTACTGGTGCAGCGTTCATATTGATTTTAATTGCATTAACCTATTCTGAGCATGACAAACCATCTTTATTGTAAATCCAATTATTTGCAAGAGTATGTTCTTTATATAAAATAATTCCGACACCTTTCTGTGGTAGATTACATCAACTATTATATTCTTTTTCTCTCAAATGATCACGAATTTGATTTTTGTTTTTGTGTAGAATTCATGATTGTATTTCAATCATTATCGGTAATGTGAAAACTTTCTATAATGCTCTCATAACACCTAAACGGTAGCATCAAACTACGGTAGCATCTGTTTATATATATAAATGTATTAAATGAATCTACTGGTATTTGTAATATTAGGTACTCATGAACCTGTAAGTAAACTATTTCTGAAAAAAAGAACAGTTTGACAAAAAGTTAGTGTTTTATATTAACCGTACTCAGATATACCACATATGCGTTGCTTTATCACCTGAGAAGTCGCTTCTTGATGTCGATTCTGTTGTTTTTACACCGTTTTTTTGGACCCCAGTTCAGTTTGGGTCGTGTGTGGACGAACGTTGCTCAGTTGAAACTTTCTTCGGCTCTCGCGTATTATCCCACATCCGACACCCCTTGTTTTAGAAACACATTAAATGACTACTAAAAATAGCGCCTAAAATCAGTCTGTTTTCGCTTTGGCAGCATTCTACGGCAATAACTGCTTCTCGACAACAAAAACTGTGTAAAAATGCACAAAAGCGCCGGAATCTCTAAATCGTGTACAATTAATTGAGAATAGAGTATGGCTAGAGTACCGGCCACGGATGAATGTTTCGTTTGATCAAGTCCGTTAATTGTGAATCAGGAGCAGACATACTGACGACTTGTAGATAAGTGTATGAACAGAGTGAATAACTGCATTCAGAAAATAGAAGTTTTAATAATCTTCCGAGTGCAGATAGTCTTTCGATGTATTTAAGGAGCTACGTTCAATTTTAAATAAAAGAGAGACAGCATTAACCTTCTATGTAGGCAAGTCACATAAAATCCGGACTAAAGTCGTCTGCTCCATTGATGCACTTGAAATTTAAAATGATTTTGTTTGTTAACAGATAAAATTTCTGAGGGATGCTTTATATTCTTAAAATCTTAGTCTCACAACACTTCAGACTATGATCTCTTATAAAGTCCGGGAAAAAAATGACCCTCAAAAGAGAAAAATCAGATTTCGATGAAATTCTGAAAAAAAACACTAAAACTAAGTCCATCGAGAACTAATCTAAAAATAGGCATGTGTTTGTAGGATAGAAAAAATTTTATGTGAAGCCGACGAGGCGAGGCAAAATAAACACACCGAGGAACAGAATGAGACGGGCCTTTTAAAATAATATCAACCGCTGACATCTTTATGTTTTGAATATTTTTTAGCCAATTAGTGGCAAAAATAATTGGAAAGACACGGTAATGAATATCCAGTAGTGAAGCCAAAGTTCAACTAGGTATAGCTGATCCTTGCCGCCAGAAAATTTATGAAACAACTTTTTTTTACGAGCAGCATGAAAAAAACTATTATCAGTCACCAATGATTCGAATGAGGCAGTCAGATTCTTCTCTTGATTTATATTCTAATAAAGGGCCCCTGGGTCATTACATCGCTTTAAAAATGAAAGAGATGTGAAATAAGAGTACATCCAAGTGCACTTTGTTGCTTCATTCACGTCGCGAACACGGTCTTCGGAATAGGAATAGGATTTGCACGGGAGACACACGCCGCGATGCTGTATCATGTCGCCATTGTAAGAGAAAAATGCGATCGCGACGGGACAATTTTTTCTTACAAGGATCGCGCTCGAATCGCGAAGTTGCATCGTGATCGCTGAAAAGACTCTTTTCTTGCTTCACGATCGCGAATTACAAATTTTCGAAAAGTAAGACTTCATCGCGTTCGCGCCGTGACAATAGCGACTTCTTAGCGACCGCGCCACGAGTTGTGCGATTTTAACGTGATCGCGGAGTTATTTCCCAAAGCTTCAACAATGTATTTTCAAAATGAAGGATGTACCCCAGCATCATTTCTAGCTAATCATGATAGTCCCGATTTTGGTGTCGGTCTTTTGCCATCCATACTGTTACATTCATTACCAGAACAAATAACTCGTACAGCATTTGGTAATATATCAGCTGATGAACTAAAACATTTACGTAGTGAAGTTTCTGACAATTTGATTTATTCCTAGGATATTGTTTTCCAGGATTTTTTTTTTATAGTAAATCTAAACAAAATAAAATGAACCAGACAATTATTTTTATTACATCTTACTTTAAAATCAATGGAATGTTCATAAATACTCTCTGCTAATAATATTTGTGATAGTTGTCTATGGGTTTATCTCATGCATGAATGCTTCAAGTATCGTACAAAAGAAATCAGAGTTGAATATTAGTCAGTCCGATAGTCCTACCCGCCAAGCTGCTCGGATTGCACTTGAAAAACAGAAATTATTTTCCATACTCACATTTAATCACAACTAAGAAGACAGCATACAACTTCTGAAGACGATACCTGTTTATGGATTTGCTTCAAGGCTGATAAAAGAAAACATGAGTTGTTTTCCATATTGTTTTTAGGTGCAGCCAAGAGTTGAGTGAATCGAACATGAACATTACTTCTAGGCACAGATGAAAAATTTAAACTACTTTCATGAACAAATATTCTATGTATATATTAGTTTACATACAGGTTTAATCGATATAACCCTTCCTGTGTTTAAAGACGAGCGGAAAAAGTGGCATAATAAAAAAACCAGTTAAGAAAATACTTTTATAGAGCCAGTGGTGGATTATAAATAGAAAAGAAAACCCTGCTGGCTGTTGAAACATTTTATATTCTAAAAATACTGTTTAAAATGCCTTGTAACTATTTATAGCTTTCTATGTTGCGACTTTATTAAATTTGATACTCCTTATAGAAAATAATCAATAAAATATAGGAAGATGATGTAACGCTTCTTTCATTTCAGTTTTTCGTCATCAGCTTTCAAACTGACTTCTACTATGGCTAATCCTCTAAACTTTACTAACCATACGAATACTGTTGGTACCGGTCTGCAACAGTCATCATGGGACACGGTATTTGTAAGACACATAAAATCGCCCATCTACTTCTTCAAATTCCTTCCATTTTCTGTATACTCTTCATTTCTTCCACTATCGTACATGCCATCGGGATCCCATTCAAATACTCTTTGTTTTACTCTTTTTTACCTTACTTATGTTACTGGATTTATATTAATTTTATTTCAACTGCTTAGAAAATGGTTGGATGAAAACTGAAATGAACAATGCACTCCCTTTCCCATTTCTGCAGCCTCTTCTTCTTGGAAAAATAGGTCACACCCTAAAACTTCTTCTGTGCAAGTGTTAAAAATTGAGTCAGATATTCGTTGTTCGATTCAGTCGATTGTAAACAGGTCAGTACTGGAAAAACTAAATAAATCGGTCGGATTTTGTACTTTTCTTGCAATTCTCCATACTTGTCTGACAAATGTTGTCTTATTCCTCATATTTTGCCCTTTGGTATGACGCGAATTGAACAGCTCTTAGAACCTACTGTATTGCTGCCGCCGCGCACACCTCTACTAGAGGCGGTCCGTTACTCGTTACCCCCCTACTCCGGTAACAGTAACGGTTTTGCATTACCGTTACTAGCGAAGGTAACGATTCAAGGGTTACGGTTACTTGTAACGGGTGACGATTAAATCAAATGAATAACTTTCAAGGTTGCTTAATATAAATTCTGCCTCAAATGTTAACTACGAGTATTCCTAAACAGAAAATGTTTTGATTCAGTTTAATGCACCGGCTTTAGCGAACGGACACAGCAATTTTGATTTGGCACATGGACATGTGGTAGAAAAGTAACACGAAATCCTCTGAACACTCTATAGGTTTTCGTATCTGCTCTTTTCAATGGCCTGGCTTTACAACTTTCAAAGTGTATTTGTACATGGCTTCCAGAAATCTGGTCTTTGGAAAACTAGTACGAACATACTTTGGAAGTTTGAAAATCAGGCCATTGAAAAGAGCAGATACGAAAAGCTATAAAAAGAGTCTTTAGAGGCTTTCGTGCTACTTTTCTAACACGTGGCAGCAGTACGAACATCTATAAACACGGTTGTTATAGGTTTTCGAATATGCTCTTCCCAATGGTCAGATTTTGGAAATCTAAAAATGATTGTTTTTAGGTTTTCGGAAGACCGGATCTGTAGAAAACCCATAGAAAATATTTTTGGATGTCGAAAATGTCACCATTGGCAAGAGCATATTCGAAAACCTATAAAACATGTGTTTATAGACTTTCGTCCCGCTGCTAAAACGAACATTCAAATACCCATGCAAAATTTGCTTCAGTCATGCGTCTACGCTACGATTCAGTTTAATCGAAAACTTTCTATAGAGAAATGTTTTAAATTATACATCATGTAATGCAGTTTTTGATGCTGATTCCAAATATCACATTAGTTTTAAATAAAAGTTTTTCTGAGCTGAGAAAAATAGATTTTACCTGGAAAACCAAGAGTTTTGGGAAAACCTATAATTTGACAAAGGAGTGTTTGTGTTAATTTGTACTAACACTGTTAGCAGCTAATATATAGACGAATATTCGCTGAAAATGTTATCAAAATTGGAGCTTGGATGTGACTGGGACACGCATTTTACTGAACTCCCCTCTTCGGATGACTCGCTAGAAAAACGTTATATACTTTTGTTCAGCTTAGAAAGTCTAAAATTAGGAAGGTTTTTTAGCAATCGATAGAGAGTTTGCCACTGATTCCGAATATGTGACTATTTTTTTACAAGCTTACTTTGGTTTTGCACATGATCCAGTTTTCCAAAAGCACTATTGTTTTCGATCGAGTCTTTCTTAGTGATTTTCCCACTAAGCTTGGCACTTAGAAAAAAAGTTCCAATGGCAAAGAGATAGAGTGTTTACTAAAGTATATGACCTGCTATTTAAATTCCAAAAAATCTAACTTTCATTTTTCCATCTAATTTCCACGTTGTTGCCCACTGTGAGTCATTGATATTCGAGAAATTTTATACGATTCATACTTTTAATGATATTAGCTTTCACACCTTTGCGTTTGGCCTATTATCAAATAAATTGCAAATAAAGTAGAAGAGCTACACAGCCGCTAACCCTCCCTTCCCCCTCAGTAGAAGACTACGTGAGCTGGTCTTCTGTTATGTGCGGCAAGTCAAATTCTTAAAGGTGGTCTTCTATTTGGCTTTGAAGTCATATAGTCGACAGTGGTCTTCTAATAGAGAATGGTCTTGTGTTACGGCGGAGAGGTAGGGTTAGATCAATGCTCATCATAATTAGATCCAGTAAAAGATGTGTCAAGTCTACGATCGAACATTAATTTCTTAGCTATGGTCTTCAACACGTTTATCCTGTGAATAATATTTACCAAATTCGACTGATATCTAATTTGAATAATTCACATTTCATAGTCCCAGATTTCTCAGTAGGAAGTGCCAGAATAACTTCATGTTTAAGGTTGTTTTCCGACTATTGTCTTAAGTCCTTGTAATTTCGGCAATTGTCGAAAATCCATCTGCATTTCAAATTACCAAATGTTAGTAGAAGTAGTTCAAGTGGCACAATATCAAAAAATGAAAAAGTATGACCTTTTGTATAGCAATATAGAAGTAAAAATTGTCATTTGTCATATCGTTTTCCATCTTCAATACTCAGTATATTAATTTTTTGATACGCCATTACTTTCCTCATTGTGAAGAGAAAGGAATGATTTCAAGACAGATGATCATTAATGAAGTAATGTTTCATTTTAGAATTCAATACTGAATGGAAAAGTAAGATAGAATTGGAGAACAATGCATATATAGAAACTGTTCGAAACCATTATCTATCTTCAAAACTGGTCTGCGATCGTTTCTGTCTCCGTTTATATATGGCATTATCAGCGGCAGAAATCGGCTCATCATCGTCATCGTCAATCGGCAAACGGTTGCATTGGTTCGCTTCGCTAATTGCTAACTGAACGTCAGACCATTCTTCCATCTGTTCTACAAGTGCACTCGGTGTGATTAACGGAGTTTGTATATCGTGTACATCTAATTTTGACAACCAAGGATGATTCAATATTTGGTCAATTGTTGGACGACTTTCGGGTTCAACTGTCAACATCGATCGAATCAGATCTTTCGCTTCTTGTGTGACGATGTGCCACTCACGGTGAGGGAACTCGTATTCTCCTGTACGAATTTTTCTTCTCATGTTAGGGCTAATCGGACTACCATAAGTCGAATAAAACGGTGGATAGCCGCACAAGAGAATATACATGATGACGCCGAGACTCCAAATATCACAAGCCTAAATTAATTTTAGATTTTAGACACAAAAAGAGTAATAACAATAGTGCAACCTACTTTGTCATAGTTTCGTGTAGACAATATTTCGGGTGCCACATAGTAAGCAGTGTAACAAGGTGTATGTAAACTTTTTGCAGAACTGGTGCATTCTTTAGCGAAACCGAAATCTGTTAGTTTTAATTCAGCATCTTCAGCGGTCGATGTGAATAATAAATTCTCCGGCTTTAAATCTCGATGTGCAATGTTCATTGAATGCAGATGATGAACTGCTTTGCATATTGAATGCATCATACCCGCCACTCGACGTTCTGTTATTGACTTTTCATGGCTAAACTGTTTTAGCCTATAAAATAGTTCTCCACCTTCCATACACTCCATAACAATGAATAAACATCGACGATTCAAATATTGATTTTCGTACACGTCTAATATAGTAACGATGTGTGGACATGTGCTTGCTTTCTTGTGCAAAAATACTTCTCGTTTTGCTTTAGGCGAGTCATGGATTATTTTTAATGCACATTTTTGACTTGTTCGACGATTGTAACATGTGTGAACTTTACCATTAGTACCAGAGCCTAATGTTTCCCTTTTCAATTTATAATCGTCAGAGATATTGCGGTTCTTGATTATGAAGGGATATGGCTGCGAATGGTCTATTATCGGTCTCATAACCAGATTCGCAATTGTACAAGTACTACTGATTTTCGAGGTCATGTTTACCTGCATTAATTTTACGCTTTTTATATATACAACGAATGGGAAAAGTCCATGTGCTGTACATTTTATTGTGTGAGCGTATAGAACACGGAAAAGATGATTTACAGGGTAATATACCTTTGCTTTCGTTCAAATTGATCAGCGAAAGCAGAAAATTAAGTTACTTACCTCCTATTTATCACATGTTCTCGAAAATCTCAACTTCAATATTGCTTCTATCATAATAAGCGATGAGCGATAACAGTAATTTACCGTCGGTAACGGTAAAGGATATTTTTAACAGAAGTTTACTGCGGTAAAAATACTTTTACCGTAAGCCGGTAACAGTACTAAAATTATTTTTACCGAAATTCTATTCTCATTTTTACTACTGCTATTTTGAATTTCTGACTATTTACGTCAGAATATGAAATCACACATGATGAAATATTCAATGTTTCTCAACGATACACTGCGAAGTGAAGTAGATATAAATCGAAAGTTTTTGAATGTTTCTCATTCATGTTAACTTGTTGTTTTTCATTATTAAACCTATTCATCGTAGTTTAAAAAAAACCTACATACATTATCAAAAACTCTGAGTCATCGGTAACTTACCGCCGGTAATGGTAAAAATATTTTTTACCTAACTTTACCGCGGTAAATATTTGAGACTTTTTACCGATTAGAAATTACCGCAGTAAAATCGAAAGTTGTTACCGAAGCATCGGTAACGGTAAGACATTTTTACCGTTACCATTCATCCCTAATTATAATAGTCACCGCTTCATTGTCTGTCTAAAAAACAACGGTATATTGCATTGTAAGTTGTTTTTCGTGTTCTATACAGCTACACAATAATATGTACATCGCATGCAGCTGTATGCATGAAACAATCGTCAAACAATTCAAAAATGCGCATTTAAAATAATCGGTGACTCACCTAAAGAAAGACAAGACGTATTTTTGCATAAGAAAGCAGGCATGTGCATCGATAAAAAATTTACGAAGATGACGCGAGGTTATGAAAATTTCCTCCGCCTTCTGCGACGACGAGTAACACATGCGTGAATGCCGCTACTGACCGGTATCAGCCTCAGTTCAAAATATTTCCAGGACTGCAGTGGCAACTTCAAAACGTTTTTAAGCCCTCGGTGACGACGAAAGTTTAACGGCATGGCGGGGGCGGCGGAAGTCACAACAAGTTTTCTCCGCTTTGGCGACGCACAGCGGTGGTGACGCACATCTCTGAGCATATGTGCAAACATCAAGAGCATATTAGATGTGTACGGAAATCCACATTTGAATCATCATACCTTGTGACAGAAAACACAAGTGCGATACATTTTAGGAGAAAGAGCAAATCTAAACGTAAAAGTTGTTGACTATAGATCTGTTTGATAACATGAAAACAATACCATTTGTAAAAGAGTATGAAAAGAGAATTCTATCTCTTGTCATTTCTGCTACTCAGGTTCAACTTATCCTAAGTAAATTAAATATAAACAAAGAAAGCAATCCAAGAATAATATCACGTTTATTGAGAGAATTACATCCGTCTACACAGCGAGTATGATTAATCAGTCAATAGAAACAGGCGAATACCCGAAGGTCTTTAAGATAGGTTATATCCATCCATTATTTAAAGTCGGTGATTCTTCTTCTATCCGTTCCAAAATATCGTTCGACCGGTTCAACGAGGCTTTCAATTCGGCTGATTACATTTTGTATTCTGCTTGATGCTGTTGGTAATCGTCGTCGTTTATTTGGTTCATGTTCGGACTGACATTAGTTGATATCAGTGATCGATAATGGCCGTTTTCCATTAGTTGTAGCTGAAGATTGTAACATGGACGGTGAAAATGGAACAGGCGATGTTGTTTGATTGGTTGTGGCTGTCGTTCGTGTTGTCGCTTGTCTTGGACGTTGTTCAGTAAATCAGTAGGTAAACGAAACGACGATGGAATTATAGGCGTAGGGATAGATTGTAAATGAGGTCGAATTGATGAACGAATTGTAGGGTTTATTGACTACAATTGATGAACAGTTGTGAGCTAAACAAGAAAAAATTCAAGAGAGATAAGTTACTCAGATCTTTTACTTTTTTGCCCTTGCCTTACTAAAAACTAAATAGTTGAACTCAATACCCTTTGCATATCGCAGCACTACAGAAAAGCAGACTGAAATCAAGTAGCTCTAGAGTAACAGCAGGAATTTTTCAATAACTAGCAGATATTAATTTTTGATGACCTTAATCAATTAAGATAACTTGAAACCTATTTTTACCTGTGGTGCAGGTTGTCGTAGAGTTTGTTGCTGCTGTTGTTCCATTGCCCTTCTTACAAAATCATGAACATTTTCATCTATGTCACGTGGAATCGTCGCACCATAGTGAATCTCTTCACCATGGTAACTGAGATAGTCTTCGATACCACCATGTTGTTGTCTAAATGCCAATGGATCATTTAATCGTGCCTGTCCAGCTCTAAAAACAGCTGAATCTTTATTTACACAAGTTGTCCGATTAAAAATATACTTACACCCGTGCAGATGATGTTAGAATATTTTGTACCCGTCTAATAGCACTTTGTGTGACCAATGCAACATAATATTGGCCGATTTCATCATAGTCACCACCAATAACTTGTTCCACGATCTGTTTCGGTCCAATTGTTCCATTCTGCTGCAGGCCAAACACTATTTCAATTTCAATATCTGTTAATTTCAAATTTTTTCGTCGTTGATGTGTTTGTGTCATATTTAAACCTAGAAAAAAAGAATTTTTTAGAAGTAGTTATAGCCTTCATTACTTTTAGATAATATAGAAAAAATGGATCGAACGGTACAACTAGTCGAAGTTCTAAAACCAATTCTCAACGTTTTAGGACATTTAACCAACATCCTCAATATATTGTCAGAATGCTGAACGCAATAGAAACTGATGAGTACGAACAATTTATCTCAATCTTCATCCAGTTACATCTTTTACTCTTTATGTCACATTTGTCATACTTCACCGTCTATCACATCATGATGCCCCTGAACACATACGAACGACGCACCTTAACTGATCTCTATGCTGAACTTGGCCTTACTCCAAGGAGATTCTGTGTTCCCCCACGAATACCAGTCGAAGCGTTTAACGATATCTACCCTACGTTTCTCCAGTTCAGTATTCACAAAATGAAAATACTTCATAAACGAGCTCACACAAATCGGGTGGAAGCAAACATTCTTCTCCTGATATGGCTCAGATCTAATCCCACCTACTCGTTGCTAAGTCTAATCTAATGTTCAAAGTTTCGAGAGACAAAATCTCACGACTAAGAATCTTTTTTTTTCCTGTACTGACACAAGTCCTAAGTTCAATGATCGTGTGACCCAGCAATCGTGAGATGAATGATTTGGTGTTATGGAATCCTGTGTTAGGCAGATACGTTGGTTATGTAGATGGTACCCATCTTAGAATCTGGCGTCCCAGTAAGTACTATACCTAAATATGCGTGGGACATGAAGCAATAGAAAGTTGCTTATGCGTAATGAGTGGACGATCTGCGTCTATTGTGGTACTTCCCTCCCGAAGGATCAAACTCCGAAATTTTTCACTTTTGAAAAAAACGTTTACAAAGTTTTAGAGGAAAAGGTGCACATTTTCTAAAAGGTTCGCTGATGGACCTGTCCTTTGAAAACGACAGGTCCAGTGTACTCTTAGAACGTTTTTGACTAGTCAGGTTCCCATGCATATCTATATATATCCTAAAAAGGAGAAATCGTTTTTTGTGAAACTGAATTGTTTGTGTCTTCACTCTTAGAACGTCATCAAAGACTCTATTACAGGGGCAAAAGTAGGACTCATTGTCTGGGAACGATCTTAATTATATCAACTGATCGAAAAATTATTTTCTTCAAATCCGGGTACCTTGAGTTAATACACGACAGCATAATGTTGTGAGACGCCGGAGTTCCAGCTCTTCTGTCCCATGCCTGTCTTCTTGCAGACAGAGGTTTTACAAATGGCGGCACTTTGTTAACTCCCTTTCGTCAAAACGAACAGAACCAACTTCCGTCTATTTGTAAAGACTTATTCAACGACCATTTATCACAAAAAAGAATTTTTATTGAACACGCTATTAAAGACTTAAAAGTTTTCAAAGCAACCAGTAAAGTCTACAGAGATCACCATTCTCTATGAGGGGCCGTTAGCTTGTGTGCCGTCTTTCTGGCAAATGTTAAAGCTAATATTTTTCTTACGTAGTCAATGTGTTGTTTATTACCTTCGTTTGTAAGTAAATAACTAAATAAAATAAAAGAGTAGTTTACTCTGAAATAAAGGGTACTGAATGATTATCAGAGCTCTGTATCGACTAAAAATTTCGATTTTCAGGCCTAACCTATTCAATAACTAATAATTTTTCAGGCCCACGGACTCGAAATTCCTGTCCACTTGAGAAATGTGTGGAGAATATTTACTACGAGAAAATATGTAAACATTTTTGTTCTTTTCTTCCGGTTA